GGGGTCAGGCCGCAGGCTGGCGGCCCTCGCTCAGGCCCGTGACCTCGCCGCGCGGGCCCCTCAGACGCGCGTGGGGACCGATAAGTCACGTCAGGGAGGGAGCCGCGTGATGTGCCAAGATGCAGGATTCGTTAACGTGTGTGTGGGTGATCTGTGCCCACTGTCGTCAGGAGCTTGACTTTGCAGGCACCTTCTGGGCAGCTCCCCAGAACTGGGTCCCCTGGGCCTGCGTCTTGGGTGTATTGGTCTGCTGGGGGGCTCCTCCATGAGGGGAGGTCAGTAGTCCTTCTGGGGGGCTGCAGCCCATGCTTTTAGATCTGCGGGCCCCGCTGGGTGCAGCCCATCTCAGCAACTGGAGACCATAGAGTGGCTTTTTTGATCCGTGCCAGAGCTGACTCAAACCATGATGAGACTCGCAGTTCCCTTTTTTGGTGGAAGCCAGCACAGGGAAATGAGGGCGTTCTGGTACATTCTGGTAGGGTGCCGGAAGCACGGAGGCTGCTGGGGGCTAGCAGTTTCTGAGACTGAGGTTTCCAGGTAAGACGGGGCAGGTGATGATCAAGTGCTGCTTGACGGTTTGTGAGTCCGAGCAGGGGACGTAGCCCTAGTGCGGTCGATATAACGGCGCAGAGAAGGGCCTTCCTTACAGAGGAAATAAGGCCTGAGCACAGAGACTGCGGCCATTACAGGCCACTGGTTCCCCAGCCTGTGCTGGCCTCGCTACGGGGCCAGGCCCAGCTTCCTGCTCTGCTGAGTTGGGCGCTTGTCTGTGGGCAGTGGCTGCAGGGCTCCAACTGTCCGTGTGTCTGCCCTTCCCAGCCCCCAGTCTCCCGTTAAGAGTGGTACCTGACGGTCCAGGGATGTACATGCAAGTAGAGACACGCACCAGCTCCTGCCTCCATCTGAAGAGGGCGCCGGGCATCAGGTCCTGGTCCCTGCTGGTTGGTAAGGGTTTCCATATTCCCCGCAAGATAAAAAACATAACTTTGAAAAAGGATGAAAATGAAACCAATTTTTTTTCTTGTTTTACCACCCCCGAAACAGCAACGATTTTCTTTCTTTCTCTGGGGTTTCCTTAGAGGTGATGTGCGTCTATCTCGTCTTTTCTTCACCACTTAACACCCTGTAGTTCACATGTTCTCTGAGATCCCCATGATCTCCTTGTACTTGCTTTCACACACTTGGCCACAGGTGTCTAATTTATGTCACAGGCCTACGTGCTGGGTAACAGTGCGCCCATTTTTCCTCTTCCTCAGTGAGGAGTCAGGGGGTCACTGCCCTGGCCTCTGTCCCCGTACCTGCCGATCGGAGGGTCCTGCACCCCCCGGCAGCTGCACCACGTGGGCTGGATCAGAGGTGTGAGGGAGGAGCCTTGTGCCTTCACAGCTGTCTCTGGTCCCCCTCTTCCGTGACCCTGCACGTGCCACTGCCTGTGTCTCCTCACCTGCCGTGTCATGGTCCTTTGTGTTCGGTCTTCATTCCACACCGTGTGCTGTTGGGCTGATGCCCATGTCAAGCTTCTGGACGAAGCTCCTGGCTGTTTCCCCCACTTCCGAGCCTGCCGGTCTCTGCCCTCGCCGCCCGCCTGCAGCCATCGCCGGCCACGGGCAGGAGGTGGGCTGCGGGCTCGGGGGGCGGCCCAGTTGGAACGCACTGCTCTCTCTTGGCAGGCATCCTGTCGATCGGCCTGGCCGCTGCCTACTACAGTGGAGGTGAGGTGCACCGC